ACACATCAGACTCCACCAGCATCTTTTAACCAACCAACCACAGTCAAGCCCTGCATGTATCAAAACTTTGGTCAGCAACAGACTGCCTGTAACAAGGTGTTTCCATGAAAAATGGAATGATGTCGCCTAGTGACGTCTCACTATCGTAACATCGAAGATCAGCACAGTCTCTTTTCTATGTTTAAATATGTTTAGATACACAAATACTTGCCATTGTGCTACAATTGTCTACAGTATTCAGTATAGTAACGAGCTGTACCGGTTTGCGGCCTAGGAGCAATTGGCCATAGCATATATCATAGAGATGTAGTAGTCTATGCCATCTGGCTGTATCCACACTCTACAGTGTTTGCAAAGGACAAAATCACCTAATGACCCATTTCTCAGAATGCATTTCTGTGCAGCGACACCTGACATGATTGTCTTCATAAAACGGCAATGCTGTGTCACATTTGATGGAATAATATGGTGTTCCTGATTATAAGACTTCAAAATTTAGTTAGGTAGGCAAAGAGGTATATTAGGCAAAATTAGAGGATGAACCAATATATAACAACTGGTCAAAATGTAATGTCTAATTAGGAGGGAAGTAACAATGTGTATAAATTGTTGATTACATAGTAATCAAGCCAGTTCCAAACTGTAAATCAGGAATGACATTAGTCTTATTTGCCTAGGTGATTGCCCTGGTGAGTACTGCACTTAATTTGTAAGTGCAGGAAATTGTGTTCTCTTTTGATCCTGTTGGATCAGGCCAGAAAACTATTTTTTTTCATTTAAAAAAAAATTGATTGCCTACCGGATGCCAGGTAAGACCTATATGTTCTCACATTTCATTTTTGCAACATACGAAGAGGGGGAGTGAATAATTCCTCCAATTCATAGTCAGGAAACTGAGGTCTCAGTGATTAATAAACTTGTTCTAGGATACAAGTAGTGATGTTCAGAGAGTTCAGAGAAATGATTGGAACGTCTCTGTTCTTTCCTTAAAAACCATGGAAATAGAACTCTACTAGAATTAGAAAACAAAAACCAAAAAGTTCGGGGAATAAAGAAAAAGAAAACGCAGCTCTTCCTCTAGATAATATATTCTAAAGTCACTCAACTTGGGGGGGGTTCCTTTCACTCATCTTTTTAGTGTAAAGAATATAATAGATGAAGAATATTACTTACAACCCTTAAATATAAAAGAGTTTTGCAGATAATTGAGCTGTGGGCTTGCAAATCGGCTTCCCATTCTGACTCAAACCCTCAAGCCAGTATGTGGTCTATTTTAACATCCTTTATGATTAAACTGCCTTAACAGCATCTTAAAGGACTGCAAATAATAATTCAAAAATTCTCCACATGTGGTATGAAAAGATTAGACAAGTCTTAAGCAGGCAGGGACTTAAATCCTAGCTGATAATACAGTGGAGAAATTATACACCATAAAGGCAGGGGAGAAAGAGCAAGGGTTTAGCAAAAGGAAGATATAATCAGAGGACACAAACCTTCCTATAAATCAAGCCTTTCCAATTCGGCTGATTATTTCATAAACTGGATCTCGGGCTGTTGATCTCTTTAAATGATTACTACAAAATGCATGCACTTTTAGAAACAGTTGCTGGCTGATTTATATTTCACAGGTATTTTCCATCCGTTTTTATTCTTCGAGAGTGTGGTTTTCATCATAGAGTTGATATTTTCAAATAATATAAAGAACTTGAAATTCAATTTGTATAAAAGCTATGTAATTTTCGTATATAATTACGGCATCCCATTTGGAAAAGCAGTGATAAAAGAAGCAACCAAATACATATCCAGACAAGACCCATTTTCCAAAGAGAAGATCGTTTTGTCAGAGAAAGAGATATTGATGGAAACATTTGTTTGTTGTTGTTGTTGTTGTTGTTGTTGTGTGTGTGTGTGTGTTTTACCTCCTCTTCCCTCTAAATGTTGATAGTCGAGCCAAAGAATAAAACCAAGCTTTACACTTTCTCTATAAAGACAGAAAGATGGGCTTATAAAAAGAAGGGAGAGAGGGAAGGAGTAAGGAAGAGAACAGAAAGAAAGGGGAAGAGAAGGGGAGGAGAAGAAGCACAGGATCTCTGGAATATTCTATCTTCCTTGGAAACTCATGTATTGCTGAACAAGCTTGGAGAAGATGAAGTGCTCCTTGCCATGGAAATATTTTTAAATGCCAAGGTGGCATTTTATGTTAACAACGAAACATAAAATACGCATGCAGCACCTATTAGTCATGATAATATGACTTATTTATTCCAGGGTCTGGAATAAAGACAGCAAGGGAGCTAAGCACTGCTGTGCTTCTGTAGAGGAAGTGAAGGTGTAAGCTGCTGTTCTACTCATGTGAAGGGTGAGCTAAGTGCCTTGGGTCTATAGGCTGTATTGTTCTTTTCCACCTACTACTCGGTACGAGATGAATTGTCCAATGACATCACTCAAGGAGTAGAATCAAGTCTCACTGCAGATCATAATGATCTGCAAAGAAGATTATCCTTACTCCAGACATAGGTGAGAACAGGGGTAATTTAATTAAACAATGCTGTTATTAAAGGCCATTCTAGGGCTGTTACTGCTACCATTGATGGAAGAAGTTCAAGGCTACATTATGCGTCTAAAGCAGAAACGTTCCTCATTTTCATTTTTTTAGAGAAAATAATTTGCATGTGATTACACCCCTAGCCAACAGCATGTTGTATTTGAGCTGCTATTGTGTCACTTCTTATTATTTTTGCTAATGGTTAAGCCAAGTAGATCCTTACAGAGACCGGTGTCCAGTAATGTCCTCTGCAAAAATTTTCCCACACCGCTCTCTGAGTGGGAAGAAATGCATGATATATGAAGCACAGATGCAGCTGTCTTTGTAATACAGGGCTGATTTAAGGAGGTGAATACAATATGAATCAGGCATAAAAAATTAACTAGGCAATATGCTGTAGCCATCACAGGTAATGGGCCTACCAAACAAATCTGTAACTCAGATTGTTTATGTTTCATTTAACAGCTTCTTATAAGTTCCCTTACTTGAGTAGTTTTATTATTGTTACATTTTAAAAAATCTTTGCTTTCCCTAAAGCTCCTGAGAGTCGTAAGTCCTGCTACTTCATTAAACACATACGTTTTTCTGACATGCCTCAAACAGTATGAAACAGTTTAGGAACTTAGTAAATGATCATTAAACATACCTAGGAATTAAATTATGTCGTTGTTTGTATTTAACAAAGTTAAGGCCATATATGTGATACCAGTCATCACTAGCTCTAGTTTTTAAAATTAATTACATTAAAAATATCAGAATATGTTGTATCATAAGTAAGTTTTTTAAACATGAAAGTAAGCATTGTTATTCAGCGGTGTCAAAAAGGTAAATACTTAATTGCCCCTTAGCTTGAAAATGTCAGCATTTTTCAAAAGTAAATTTTTCAAAAGCTGGAAATTGTTATTTTAAGTTGCATGCTTAGCAACGATGGTATTGATCAAACAACAACCCAAAAGTTGCTTATTCTTAGAAAGTAAGGCTGACTAACCAGGATTTTTATCAGAAATGCAATGTACTCATAGTTCGTGAGCCTTGAAAAGTACACTAAAATGATTATTGGACAGTTTTAGATTTAAGAAGGGAAAAACTCAGATAATCCACAGAGATCTGATCTTTTGAAAAAGAAAACCATGATATATATACATATATATAAATCTATGAAGAGTAAGTTAATGAAGAAATTGATGACTCAAATGTCTTGTTAACACAGACATTGTGAAGTAGGGATTGGCATCATTTAGTGATATAAATCCACACTGCAACAAAACATCCTCAATGACAGAGATCTGGGAGCAGGACCAGCCTCATGTTCCTTCAACCACTGAATTTATATACAGGTGCTTAGAAGGCCCCTGTGGGGAGGAGAGTCACTTAATCTTCTGCTGTGTCATCTTCTAAGTCTTAATCATTTTTAACAAGGTACCCCTGCATTTTCACTTTGCACTGGGTTCTACCACGTACAAAGCCGGTCCTGCGTGGAAGCTGTCATCACTGAATAATTGCCTGAAACCAGAACAGCGCCCTCTCCCTGCTTCCCCATGACTACTTTATTCCCGTGTGTTGTCACCCTGTCTCTGCAGCCTTGGCCAAGTGGAAGAAGGAGGGAGACTTTGTCAAGAGCAACATGAACAGAAGGCACATCCTGCTCTCTCTTCTTCGGCATGCTGGCTTAAATCATCCGAGTGACCACTGCAAAGGCAATTCTCCCTCGTCTACCAATTAAAATATGTCTCATCTCTACTTCACCTTCTTCCAATAGTATATAAGGTGATTTTGAAGTTAAATATAGTTTTACATAAAACAAACAAAATAGAATTGTAAATTCTAAAAAGGTAAGTAAGTGCCATTCGGTGTTTAAATAAGGCAACTTGTTACAAATAGCTATTCACTGCGTTTAGTCTTTAGATTACAGCTTCTCAACTATAGAGCAAAATAAAGCTGAGAAATGGCTCGTCAGCAATTAAACTTTCCAAAGAAAATTAGAAATTCATTTAAAAACTCCCAGATTTTATAAGGTACAGAAAGACTGCTCAAATGGATAATTGGGGGCTCTTTATAAAAGTTCTATACTATTGTTCTTTTTATCTTTGATGCCACTCTCTTCATAAACAAACTCAAGAAATTCAAAAATCAACGAAAGTGTCTGAAACCCGATGATTCTGATCTAACACTGTTAAGATAAATCACTTTCTTAGAAGATCGATAAATGGACTGTATGAATGGATTAGACCTTCATAGTTGTGAATTTGCTCTTATGGAGACACGGCCTAATCGAGAAGATCATTTTGTTAAAAAGTTACAGTAATTTAAAAAAATCCTTGAGTTAAATATGCTGCTTAAAAAGAAAACTCTCTTTCATTTTTTTCACCTCAGAAAAGGTCTACGACAAAGTTCAAGGATATCGCAGCCGAAAGTAAGGGCTTTCCAAATCCTGTCCTTTCCTTTCCATACTCACATTCGGGCTGAGTGGCCACCTTGACGGGCTGAGAACTCTCTCCCGGGCCCCACTCGTTGTAAGCCACAACTCGGAAAGTGTACATGGCTTCTGGCTTCAGGTTTCCCACAGTGAGCTGAAGGGATCCGGGCTGGGTTGTATTCATTGCTCGTTCCCTGGAAAATCAAAGTTGCGGAGAACGATTATTCCAAAATGAATACTTTGAGCACAAATTTTTATTTGATGTGCAAGAGTAGTGAGGTGAACCAAAAGCTTGCTAGCTCATTTAATGTGGACTCTGGACACAGTTCAAGACCTTTCCGACTTACAAGGAGAAAGAAACAACTAGAAGACCTAAAAATAAATGTTGCAAGGTTTCCATGGAGTTTAAGCCTGTTATTCTTCATGAAACTTGCAAACTAAAGTTTTTTGTGTTGTTGTTGTTGACACTTTTCTATTCGGAATTCAAAACTCATGACGACAAAGAGCTATTGAAGTAAAAAGAAACATCTGGAATGCAGACAGGAAGATGCATTTTTTTCTAAACATCCGGCTAATGACAGAAATCAAGGCTTCAATTATTCCACAAATTGGTCTGTGTCAGTATCGCCAACAAATGCATTCGCGCATTTTCTTTCATTGCAGAAAAGGAAAATGCAGATGCTAAGTGTTCCTATGTATGGAGCTTGAGCCCCTGTGTTACTTTAAATGCAATTAGTGAAAGGAAGTAGATTTGTTCCTGCATGAATAGAAACTGTAACAGAGGTCTACTTGTCTTGTTCTTCAAGCCACATCTACATGTACTCAATAGTTTTACCAACTAAAAACTTCCTCAGTGTTGCAACATAATGAATTAATCTGCGAACCATGGTGGAATTTACAGCACAGATTAAGAGAAAACTATCCCTATAGACATGGATGCTGACATTTCAGAAATGAGAACTATGAAGCATATTCTTTAAAGACACACACACTGCTGGACTTTCTAAACATTCTAGAGATCCTCAGTGGTCCTCAACATGATTGCACTGAGTGAAGGAGGAACTTCTTCTAAACTTCTCAGCTGTTTCTTAAGGTTTCTATTTCTAGATAATCTCTCTTACTTCTCAGTAGAATTAGATGTACACTGAAGTCTGTCATTCAGTTTAGCTTTGTTTTTGGAGATATTTAAAGTAAAACCTACTCTTCTGCCAGAGAAAATTAAGGTTTCCAAAAGAACATGAAAACAAAAGTTCCTAGGTGCAAGAATGATGATTCCTGGGCATGTGTATACACTTAATATGAGTGATATGGCATAGACTGGCTAATTTACCTTCAAATCCAAATTTTCTTCCTCTTCACACGCAAATCTATATTCCCCAGCCTCCCTGAAGTTGAGTAAAAGCCACACAATCGAGTCTAATTAATTAGTTTGAGTATATAGGATGTGTGGAGATTCCAGGTCTGGTCTAGAAAAGTTTCACGTGAGTAATGTTTCATGTTCTCCTCCTTTACCTGTGGGCTTGAGGTAAGCAAGCCTGGTGACCTTGGAATCCATGTATTGCTGATGAAGTGGTCAAAACTTGCAAGAGTCTGGAGAAGGTATGAGGAGAGCACTGCTTGTCAATCAGGAACATCATTTATACACCTTACAGAGTCAGAAATATGTTTGCGCTATTATGCATTTAGAGGTTTATTTGTTATAGCAGTTATTATTACTTTACCTAGTACTGCTAGTAATTAAAATATGTACTCTGGATGGTTGCCTGGCCCTCGGAGAGGAAGGAATGAATATAGAGTTTTAACTGAAAGGATGAAAAAGTTCTAGGCTGGGCATGGTGGCTCAGGCCTGGAATCCCAGCACTTTGGGAGGCTGAGGTCAGAAGATTGCCTGAGACCTCGGGTTCAAGAACAGCCTGGTCTCTACAAGAAATAAAAAAATTAGCCAGGCGTGGTGGGGTGTGCCTGTAGTTACAGCTACTTGGAAGGCTGAAGCAGAAGCGTCACCTGAGCCCAGCAGGCGACAGAGTGAGTCATGAGCATGCCACTACACTCCAGCTGGGCGACAGAGTGAGATTCCAACTCAAAAAAAAAAAAAGAAAGAAAAAGTTCTGTGGACAGATGATGGTGATGCTAGTACAAGGTAAACATGCTTAATGTTACAGACTGTGCACTGGGTATGGGTAAGAAACATCAGATAATGCTTCCCTACACCATATATCACCCTACTATATTCTAACCAGCAAAGATCATTTAGGTCAGAAAACTTTTTTTTTTTTTTTTAAAGAAAACACACATAACGAAATTGTGTGCCTTGCTGTATGAAGCTCAAGGAGATTAAGCACATGGGTGTAGAGATTTTTGCAGCTGATTTAGCTATTTTCTCTCAGCACAAGAATTTTTATATATAGTGCCTCAGGTGGAACGTTGATATAGATAGAGTGGTTTTGTTATCTTTATCTTGCAGAAAATACAAAGTGAGAATTTTCTTCCTCTTCACATGCAAATCTATATTTCCCAGCCTCCCTGAAGTTGAGTAAAAGTCACACAATCGAGTCTAATTAATTAGTTGGGAAACAACTGGATTGATTCAAAGGTCTCACAGTTAGTGGGTACCACACTTCAGAATGAGATCTAGAACTTCCTCCTCTAAATACAGTATTGACATCACTCAAAAACAGTGGGAAAACAATGGGCCTCTGTGGATCACAGGGACTTTGGGTAGAAGAAAAGAGATCTTAAAGGGGAAAACTGGACAATGGGTATTCAGAATCCTCTGAGAAGATGAATTTGTCTCTCAACTGCCGTGAAGCATTCCATAACATCTTTCCTAAGCTTTCAAGAAATATTGTTGTCAAAGGTCAGATTTGGCCAGGCACGGTGACTCAAGCCTGTAATCCCAGCACTTTGGGAGGCTGAGGCGAGAGGATTGCCTGAGCTCAGGGGTTCATAACCAGCCTGGGCAACTTAGTGAGACCTCTTGTTTCTACAATAGATAAAAAATAAGCCAGATGTGGTAGTGAGTGCCTGTAGTTCCAGCTTCTTGGAAGGCTGAGATGGACGGATCACCTGAGCCCAGCAGGTCGAGGCTGCGGTGGCCGTGAGTGTGCCACTGCACTTCAGTCTGGGTGAGACAGTGAGACTCCAACTCAAAAAAAAAAAGAAGGTAGGATTTGCATAAACTCCTTGGGCTTCTATAAGAAAAGACAACCTGCATAATTGACTTCATTTCTTTTTATTTTTTTTTGAGTTGGAGTCTCACTCTGTCGCCCAGACTGG